ATGTGTGTGTGTGTGTGTGTGTGTGTGTGGGGGGGGGGTAGGTCAGTTATCGGGAAAGGAAACTTCCTCCACCTCGTAATTATTCTGTTAATGAGGGAAAGATTAGAAAATAATCCAAAATCATCCAGGAACCACCTGCAGAGGGTACTGCTGCCCCCTGCTGTCTGAGCCAGGACACTGCACCTCTTTTTTTTTTTGTTTATCCAAAGAAACTTTCGTGACACAAAAACTGAGCATTTTTAGTGTTCTACATCACACTTAAACGATAGATGAATACAAATATTCAAGCTAATTTTGACTAAAAGCTGAAATAATTAGCATTTCTAAATCAAATCTTTATAAACATTCAAATTAGTGCAGTTTTAAGATTTCTGGGGGACAGAAATGTGGTTCCAGCCTGAAAAAAAAACATGAAACACCTTTTAACAAGTGAGAGGTTTACAGTTCCAGATCAGTCGAGTCAGAAATCTGGAACAAATATGAACAAAAACAGGAAAGGAAGGCATCCAAGGACGTTAAACGTAAAGCAATTGTTCTGAAAATAGGGAATTTACAGATAAAGAATCTAAAAAATGGGGGATTTTCACCCAGAAAAAACAAGATAAGCCGATTAAGGGAGGAAAAAGAAGCCGGGTCTGATCAGGAAGCTGATCCAGCTTATTCAGAAATCCAGTGGCGGGCCGTGCATTTTACACCTAGGCCTTCAGTAGTGCTCCGTCTGAATCAATTCACCCCTCAATAACTATTTTATGGTTATAGAAATCATCTTAATATGTAGAAATACAGTAGGGATGTCCCGATCCAGCTTTTTGTATTAAAGTTGATTTTTTTTTTCTACTTACTTAGTTGTCAGACTCATGTTGAACAGGGATTTACTCTTATAACAACTAAAGTTTACACAGACCTGTGGGTTAGGAGATGCTAATGCTAATGCTAATGCTCGGGTGGGATCGGACTTTTAAAAAAAATGTATCTGGAGTCTCGATTGGCATTTTCTCATGCCGGCCGATACGCTCCAAATATCGGATAAGGACAATCCTAAAAGACAGTCTAAAGATCAGGGGTGCACCTTCTACTCCT